AATGTATCAAGTCCACTGTCAGATGCTGGGAATCATGACAACTACTATAGCAGACGACTTCGGACTAGGTTCGTTCTACATGGTCTCCCTGAAAACAGGACCAAGTTGCGACAACGAGGTCAACCCACTTCTAACTTGATTACAGTTCACTCGTTTTTATTCCAAAGCTTTTATTTTCAACCACCCTTCTAACTTTCTTTTTAATATTGCCTTCCTAACTTATTATTTTCATTTTTCGCATTCTAGATAGTTGCATGAAAATCCTTCCTTTCTTTAAATCATTTCGATTATCGCCGCCTTGAAATTGATAGACGTATCTCTAGCTTTTACAATCTGCAGCCTTAGTTCTCAGCCTCTTTAATCATTTTACTCTGAGACCCGCCGCCCACTCTTCGGGATGCTCCTCCCAAGCTTATTTTGCCTCCCGAACTGGACGGTTACAGCCAAATGGCTCGAGCTAAGAGTTTGTCCTCCCTGATTAGTCATTTGGTTCGGCCTTGCCCCTCTTATTTTGTTGTTGACACAAACCAATGTGCTTCCCTGGGGAGTCACTCCTTTCGAACCCCGAGTCTGGCCAATCGACCTGGCGTATGAACGGGCCGTAAGGCCAGCATGGCCCCCTGCATCTAGTGTTCTTGCTCCAGGTACTATGCTTGGGCCACCACCAACCCCAGGTGAAGTTGACGAATTGGTGGGCTTTGGCGAATTCGAATTTACGGTCCTTGAGGGGCTGTTGTCAAAGGTAGAGCTTTCAGCCGGGTTAGGTGTCTAGAATAAGTATATTAATATAGATTTTCAAAGAAGTAAACACATTGCGAAACAAAAAACAACAGAAAAAGCAACCAAATAACCGGTCGTTCGGACAAAATAAAAAATGAAACAATAAGCAAACAGAAATGGAACCGAGTAAAGTGCAGAAAGAGAATGGATTATATGAAACGTTTGAATAAATTCACTTAAAGATATGGGAGCAAGAATAGGAACAGAGGAGTGGTCGTTCGGGATGAAAAAAATAGTAGAAAAATTATACATAAGAAGCTAGAAAAAGAATAATGAACAAGAGGAAAATAATAGTTTTGAAATAAACTGAAAAATTATAAATATATATTATA